AAAAACCCACTTATAAAAATTTAGAAAATGCAAACTAATAGAAAAAATTCAAAATCATTCACAGTCTCATATCCCATAGAGAACCACTGTAAACAGGTTGAATTATACACTGCCTTTATTTTTTCTGTTTAAACACATGTTTTTATGAAAAATCCACAGTGTACATATTATTTCGAAAACTATTTTCCTTTTTTACTGCAGATTGATAAGATGTTAATACTATGAAGCTGTAAAATACTATGTACTAGAATATTAATTTCATACAGTTTAGTTACATTATTATTTAAACTAGTTATATACAATATATACTACTAACATACAAAACTCTACTGTATCCTGCATAGTATATACACACAAATATATGCATATACATATACTATATATAATCGTCAATATCATACTATATATCATAGCAATGTATACAAGTCTCTTTGGCTATAGATAGAAAAGTTTCCTCAAAATATAAGTAAACTAAAACTATGAATAGAAAAAGACTTACACTCCAAGGTGAGAGATTTGACCCAGAAAAGGAAGTGTTTTCACTTCTCAATGTCAATGTAATACATGTGCCTCTCCAGCATGCGTTATCATATACCTTGGAATAGATATAAGAAAAAGGCAAGGGGCTGGGGTTGTAGCTCAGTGGTAGAGTGCCTGCTTAGCATGTGTGAGGTTCAACCCTCAGCACCACATAAAAATAAATAAATAAAACAAAGGTGTTGTGTCCATCTACAACGAAAAAAAAAATTAGAAAAGAAAAGAAAAGGAAAAAGGAAAAGGCAGACACCCCTGCTTTCCATGTACTTACAGTGTCTTCTCAAAAATGAGTTCTTCTATATCTTTCAATGACCTAGGAATGACTGCAGGCCTTACCACATTCTCTACATCTGTAAGGCTTGAAAACTACTTTCTACAGAACCACTTTCTGTTTCATCATTCTATGTCAGTTCATAACATCCTTTTTTGTTAATTGTTTTTTTTTTCACTACAGAACTAATTGATGCTCTTTTTAAATAATTTCAGAGTATAAGAAAAAGCATATGGGGCTGGGATTATGGTTCAGTAGTAGAGCGCTTGCCTAGCACATGAGAGGCCCTGGGTTTGATCCTCAGCACCATATAAAAATAAATAAATAAAATAAAGATATTGTGTCCAACTACAACGAAAAAAATATTTTAAAAAAAGAAAGAAAAAGCATAAAGTAATTTGTTCTCATCCTTACCCCTCAACTTATCTCCACTGAAGCAACTCTAAGACTTTTTTTATTTCTTTGTAGAAATTTTCTACGTACAGATAAACTTTTTATGTATACTCTCTCATGCTCACATAAACACAAGTAGCATTTAATTAATTACTATATCACAAGATATTCAATGAAATTCTGTTATGTGGAAATTTGGGGCTTTCCCAAATGTTCACCACAGTGAATATCTGTGGTTAAATCTTTGCACACAACCATGATTATTTTCTTAAGATAACTTCCATAGAATTCAAAGCCTTCTGATGTGTGCTGCCTGCCCATTTGTTCTTCATAAGGTTTGGGCCAATTTCCCATTCTCAACAGTAGGCAGGACTGAATTCTTAAAAACTAAAGTATAAGACACTTCAAGCCATGAGTTCCAGTGTGCTGGCTACTAGCTATATGTGGTTACTGAATACTTGAAATTCAGCCAGTCCAAATTGAGGCATGCTACAAGTGAAAAATGCCTTCCTGCCTGTGCCTCTGCTATGCCCAGGGCTCTTAGAACTAATGTAGGTCCCTTCAGCCTCCAATTATTTCTCAGGAATGATCGACAAACAAATGGCAAGTGTCTGCTTTTGAAGGCAATGGGATTGCTTAGTGAAGACTGTTATCTACCAGAACCTGTCATTAAGTATAAACTCTAAGTTGCAAATTTAATAATTTGTCAGAATGTGAGGCTTCTGGAATTGCTGCAGGGTTCCACCCCATGCCCCTATGACACTGTGCTCACAGGCATGGATGGAATACGGATGGACCGACAGTGCTTCCATGGGCATTTGTCAGCTCTCTGTGCTGGATTCTTTTTCACTTTTCTGTGAAGCAAGGGTGACAAGATGACACACAGAGTTTTAGACCAACATGATCAGCACTATGTAAACACAGAGAGGGAGGAGAGAGATTATCTGGATATGGCTGGGCCTAGACCTTGGCTTCCGGTACAGGGCTCTCCCCGTTTCCCAAGGTTGTTTGCCCCCCCCCTTCCTCCTTTGTACTCTGCTTTCCCTTTTCCTTGTCTCAAAAGCACACAGTGACTGTACTAAGCACCATAGGTACACACAGCTGCTCACAGGCAGGCTCCTCCTCCACCCACGCGCTCACTCCCTGTCACTCCAGAGCAGAAGCAAAATGCAGATAAATTGGAAGAAAAAGGTCTGTGGGTCCAATGTATGAATCCTGCTATATTTCTGTCCTGTTGTTGACTCACATCTTGTTCTTTTTCCACTGGATGCAGCTTTATAGTTTAAAACAAAACAATAACAAAGGACTACAAAAATATACCTTTAAGTATTTGGGGCTCAGTTGTGTGCTTGATTCTTTGGACTATGGCCACAGCCCTGGCTTCCTTCCATATTCCAGTCAAGTGGCTTCTGACAGGAAGCTATCCAGGCAAAAGGAATTAAAATAAATCCTCTGTTTCAACTTGTCATCCTCATGCTTTTTTTTGTTGTTGTTTAGTTTTGTTTCTGCATAATGTTTAATTTTGTGAGAATAATGCCTCTTGGAACTCCTCACTTACGGTTTCTATAAACTTGCATGGAATGAAATTAAAGAGCTGAGATAACCTTTTAACAAGAAAAATGAGAGTGCTCTTCAAAAGACTTTTGCCCCTACACTTGAAGTATAAGGGCAAGGTCTTATTGACAGGAAGCTGAACTGAGAACTGGACAAGTGATACCTTTGCTCCATTGTTGTTTTTACTTACTAGATGAAAACCTTAGCTTTTCCATCTGTGAAGGGGGACAGAGTGTTCTCCTTTCTTCCTATGTCATTTTCAGATGGGCACTGCAATAAAAGCAATAAGCTAATGCAAAAGGAATAAATTATGTTAGGTTGTAGTAATTGGATTGGCATTTGAAATTATTTCCCAACTCAATGTGATTATAAATAATAAAGTGCTCTCACTTTTCCCAGCTACTGTGTTTAAATACACTGGCAAAAATCTAAAGACCTCTTTATATATTATAGTATGCCAGGCCATGAATTTTGCATAACACAGACTTCTAGGCATTCCTTTTCTTTCTTCATATTCAAACCTGAGCATATACGTCCTATGGATTCTCTACTGCCTGTCCCTGTCTCTGTCTCTGTCTCTGTTTCTCCCATTACTCAAGGGATAAGCAACTTTAAAACATTTTCATTGATGCTGTGGGATGAGTGAGTTGAGTAGCCGTCTAGTAGCATTGGGTGAGCCTGAGACACCAAACACTCAGGAACCTCCTTTGGATTAAAAGAGATGTTGGAACTTTGAAAATGAAGCAATTACTTCCCTTTTTATCAACAGCATGAAGCCAATAATCTATGAAATGGAAGAGTCCTACTAAGAACATTACCAAGTATTGAATATTTTGGTATAAGATATTTCTACCATTTTCATAAGAAGAAAAGGCTAATATACTATATAAATTTCTATTTTCAGATTGATTTCCTTTCAAAGATAGTACTTCTCGATCACATTGCCTTTCAAATTTTTAAAGCATTATAGATTTTTTTTTTAAATTTTTGGTCAGGGAAAAAGGGCAGTATTCGGGGTTGAACCCACGAATGCTTAACCACTGAGCCACATCCCCAGCCTTTTAAAATATTTTATTTAGAGTCAGAGTTTTGCTAAGTTGCTTAGGGCCTCGCTAAGTTGCTGAGGCTGGCTTTGAACTCTCGATCCTCCTGCCTCAGCCTCCTGAGCTGTTGGGATTATAGGTGTTCACTACCATGCCTGGCTAAAGCTTTGTAGACTTTTAAAAATTGGAAAAACTGGGGCTGTAGTTGTGGCTCAGTGGCAGAGCACTCACCTAGCATGTGAAGCACTGGGTTCTATCCTCAGCACCACATAAAAATAAATAAATAAAATAAAGGTTTTGTGTCCAACTACAACTAAAAAAACTATTTTAAAAAAAATGGAAAAACTGAGTTTAAGTTGAAAGCCTGTAGCTCTCACAGACCCATGACTATAGATAAGGTCTCTTTAATTAGAACAGCCTAAATGCATCCATTCTTGCCCTTGATGATTCACCCAGGACCTCCAGCCCCCTAATAGCCTCCCTGAGTTTCCCATCACTAGAGGGTCAGTAGGGTGAGTGCCCCACCCCAGCTCTGGTGCCTCTCCTTTCTTGGGTTCCGTGAGCTTAGGTGAGTGCTGTCCTGTCCTTGCCAAGTAGAGAAGCACTGGTGAGTACTGCCTCACAGAGCCAAAGTCGCCTCCCCTCTCTTTCTGTTACATGTGTTAGAAAAGTCCTAAAACAAAGTCATTTGTGCCTTGGTATTTTGCTGGGGTTTGGAGAAGTACCTCTTTGGGGTTTTTACTTTCTGGCATCTCACTAGAAGGCCATTGAAGTGGGGGAGGCAGGCAGAGAGTTCTGTGTAAGAAACAACACCCCTTTCACACTCAAGGTCAACCCTCTCCTCTGACAACCTCATCTGAAGATGGGATCTCTCTTTCTTTACATAGGTTATCTCTTAGGAGGCTTCAGTATCTCCCAGAACTTTTTTCCAGGTCTCCCCTCTAGTTCACCCAACAAATCTGAACCCTTCTGCAATGGGCACATCTCACACACAAGCTGAGGTTCCCTCTGAGTGAGGATTTACTCTTGTTCTGATGAAACCCACCCAGACCACCCTGCAGGATTGAACTTGAGGTGGAGGGACTGTGGGGAGAAGATGGGAGGAGAGTGGAAATGAGCCTCAGGACCAGGAGGCCGAGCAGCTTCCCAGGAAGCACCCGGGCATTCAGTCCCTTCACTCGGGCTCTGCATTCTCTCTGCAGAATGACATCTTCGAGTGGGCCAGGGACCACCGAGCCCACCACAAGTACTCGGAGACAGATGCTGACCCTCACAATGCCCGCAGAGGCTTCTTCTTCTCCCACATCGGGTGGCTGTTGGTTCGCAAGCATCCAGATGTCATTGAGAAGGGGAGAAAGCTTGACGTCTCTGACCTGCTTGCTGATCCTGTGGTCCAGTTCCAGAGAAAGTAAGTGAATGCACATCACAGAGGTGTCCCTCAGGGGCCAGGTAAAGAGAGCACAATAATACCTGGATAGCATTCTTCTCAAGCATTTTCCTAATGATTGGGTCTTATTTTTAGGATTTACCTCTATTTATTAATTTCCTTTTGCTCATTAAGTTCTCCCTGTTAGAAAGTTTATTTGGAATTATGAATTTCATTTATAATGGATTTATATGAAGCCCCAGGGATCCCTTCCTCCAGGCTAATCTTGCAGGGCTGATTTTCTGAGACCTGTTTCTGTTTTCCTCTCTTCCCCATTGAAAGATTCCAGGGAGTGGATGAAGGCAGAGTTTACTTTATTTTACTGACAGTCTTGACTCCAACAGGACAGATTCTCTCCAGGTGTCCTGCTCTGTTCTCCTGAAGTTTTCTCCCCTTCCCTCCACTCACAAAGACTTTTCACTAGTAGGTTTCTGTGCTGAGAAAATAAGACTTCATAACAGGGAGCCTCAAAGCAGCTGTGTGCCCCAATGGTGTGAGCCAAGTATATTCAGTTGGTTTGTATTTGTAGGGTGACTACTTTCAACAAGCACATGACTGTAATTGCTCTGGCAAGTACAGAGGCACCTGTTGTTCACCTCTCAGCTGGAAAGTTGGAATGTACTCTATCCATGTTGGTCTGGGTCTACAAGGTTGGCCATGCTGAGACTATTTAATAAATGAGCCTATATGGCCTCTAAAGCAATGCATTTATGTGTAAAAAAAGAGGACAACTTTTGGACCATGCTCTGCTCAGAGCTTTGTGATAAGATGGTAAGTGTTTACAGAGACCATCTCCACTGAAAGATCGGTGTCTTCTGAGGACTCATCCGTATGGAATTTGTTCAGGCTGAAAATGGAAATAGAGGCTGTGCCTTTGTCCGACACAAGTATCCTTGCATGAAAGTAAGAGTAGTCCAGAATGTGCTTGTTTTCCCAGCACTCTCTCCTCTTGTGCTGGAGGGAGGGTAGAGAGAAAATGGCAGACGGTGGAGGTGGACTGCCTTGGATCAAACTGTACTCCCCACTTCCCAGCAAATGTATTAACACTGAGTCTCAGGTTCATCTATAAAATGGGAGTAACAGGCTGGGCCTTGTGGTACACTTCTGTAATCTCAGAGACCCTGAGGCTTAGGCAGGAGGATCACAAGTTCAAGGCTCACCTCAGCAATTTAGCAAGGCCTTGTCACAAAATAAAAACTAAAAAGGGCTGAAAATGTGGCTCAGTCATAAAGTGCCCCTGGTTCAATCCCCAGTAACCCTTCTCACTACCACCAAATGGGAGTGACAGGCATACTTAATCCTGCAACTTTCATGAAGATTTACAAAAATAAAAGCACAGACAGTGTCTGATGATGGTTCCTGCACAGGCACCTGCTGCTCTGGAGGGTCCCTCAGGTTTCCTTCTCTGCTTCTGTTGGTTTCACCAGGGGTCTTCCCTGTGCATCAACACAACTCTTTCAAGCAGACACACCCAGGATCGACAGCCAAAAGATTTAGAGCAGTTTCAATCAGTAATTAAATGATTTGTTGATTTTGGTTTTTCACCATGAGAGTAAAATCTTAAAGGTCATTAGAGAAAAAGCTAAAAAATTCAGAGAAATAGAAAAAATTATCCAGAGTCCATAAACACAGCCACTATAAATATTCTGTAGTGTCTCCTTTAATTTTTTACACATATATTTGATATATTTGGCATGATGGCAGTCACACTGCATATGATTTTATGTCTCACTTTTAACTTCAGATTATATTGTGGACACTGTTGTCAAAGCCTGCAGGAGAATCCATCAGTCAAGCATGTCATAGTTTATTCAACCGTCACTGTGTTGGATATGTATGTCATTTCCAATTCTGTGAAATAAATGATGTTGCTATATAATTAGTAATGCTTTGGGACAATCAGATTAATCTGAAGAACTCAAATGAGAAGGCAAGGCTCTCTTGTTTTATTAATGAGAACTGAGCCGGATATAATAGTCTGGGTTTTCTAAATCATAAAAATAGAAATTTTTTTTCTTCATCCTTTCCCTTTAAAAAAAAATGCTGACATCTGATTCATTATGTGTGGACTGGTGGTACGTAGGTCCAAAGACTGTTTCTAAATGCAGGCTGAAGAACAAAGGCTATTTCAGCAAGTTCCCTAAATAGTTACCTGAGAACATCTTCCATCGCCAGTCAGGTGACCAAAGGGAGGTGCACCCATCAGAAACGATCCTTCACATCTTTGTTTCACAGAGGCCCTGGAGCTCCCTGCTGGGCATTGATGCTGAGGAAAAAGCTCTAAATATTGACTTCTGTTGTGCTGGGATATAGTTCAGTGGTGGAGCACTTGCCTCACATATATGAGACACTGGGTTTGATCCTCAGCAAGGCATAAAAAAATAATAATAAAAAGTATTGTATTCATCTACAACTAAAAATATATATATATTTTACAAGAAGATTGGCCTCTGTCCTCCCAGAATTCACAGAGGAGCAGGGAATCCACAGATTAATTATAATTATACCCTAGTAAGAGGAAGCCTGCAGAATAGTACAGGACACCCTGGGAACATAACTGCAGGGGACAGGAGGGGAGGGACAGCCTTGTGGGAGCAACTAGCCTCTGAGCTAGTTGGAAGATGAGGAGGTGGTCAGGGGAAGATGGGGCAAAGGCTGTTTAGCATGCTTGCCATTTCATAGAGCTATACTGAACCACTGTACTGAACCATAGAGCACCAGAAGGGAGCTCATAAATCATTAACCCATGCCCTCTCTTTTTCCTGTTTTGTGTATTTTTTATATGATGATCAGTCAGGTACAAAATCAAAAGGAGACACAGGAGAGGCCCAGTAAAACAAATCACATTACAGTTACTGGTACTTGGAAAAAGAGGCTTGGCATAGTACACAGGGGTGACATGGGGAGGCCTCAGTGTGGTCAGAAAGCAGCAAGCAGAAGCCGGGGGAAACAGAGTTAAGCTTTTATTGTGGTTTCCTGGGGAAAGACAAGGAACAGTTCAAGATTGGGTGGTCTGAGTAACTTCCACTCATATAACTCTAAGCTATATGAGTGGTCCCTGGTTGCCTGAAATCATTAAGGTGGAGGAAGACTGGCTCCTTGAGTTCCTGGGTCAGACTGAGGAGGCCTGGCTCTGATTTGTACATTGAAGGGATCAGCTCCAGGCTAGGACCATAGCTGTCCCTTAGGATTGGCTAGCCTCAGGAAAGGCAGTCTCCCCCCAGATAGAAAGATTTTTAACATGTCAAAACATCATAATACATAGAAAATTATATATACACACACACACACACACACACACACAACAACAACAACATCCTATGAGAAAACTAATAAAATGTAGATAGAAAGCTGGGGCTAGACATACCTGCATCTCAGATTATTTGTTCGATGTTCTTTCAATTGCATCTCACTGCTTGAAAGGCATACAGCAGTTTTTAGTTATACTTAGAAGCACTCATGTCCTTTGGTACTTATCCAACATAGAGATCCATGATACAAAATAAGGTGTAGAATCGCTAAACTCAATGAAGAAAGCTTCCAAGAAGCACAAAGCACTGCAATTGTTTTTTTTTTTTTTTTTTTTCGTTCACAAAGCCAGTTTTACTGGTTCTGTCAGTCAGACCATGTGGAAGAGACAGGTTCCTTACAGGAACTGAAGTCATTGTGTGATGGGTGGGAGCTGGAGGGGAGCATCTTCTTGTTAGCATCACTGTCACATCAGATCTCAGTCCTTGTTCCCCTGGGCTGAGTGGAGGGCTTCCTAAGTAACAGAGAAAGGTGCCCACCTGCATTTGGGGCACGGTCCAGAGTGATTTCAGCGAGGTACCTTATAGAGTTCCTCTCCTGCCAAATTCCCACCTGCTCCTATCTGGTTCTTGGAGGGCAGCTGTCCCTTTTTGAGGTTGGATGTTCAGACTTTGTAGTGGACTCTCTGCCCTCACAGGGCGCAAACAGATCCAGCTAAGTGCCTCTTGGAGAGTCTCCTCATCCACAAGACTGCACAAATGATCAAGACCCAGGACTCGGAGGGGCTCCTCAAGTCCACTCAGCACACAAGCACAGACATTGCAGTTGATTGATAAACTTGTGCTTAGCCATCCTAATGACAACTTGCCACAGACAGGCATGGCAGAAAGCCAGGCTTAATTGACTTTCCATTATATGGTCTAATGAAAGAAAATAGTACCAGCATTAAGAGTAACAGGAAAATAACACAGTTTAAGCTGTAGTCCCAGACTTTTCCCCTAAAAGACGATTTTCCCAGATATAACAAGCTGCTAAGGAGGCTACTTCTCGATTTGCTGTATTATCAAGTTGTGAACGACGAGCATCAGGAGGTAAAAGGGAGAGAAGCAAATAGCATCACCTTTAGACCTTGGTAACTAGTGCCCCTGCCCTGGGTCTTGTACCTTAAATGGATGAGCTTCTTCTCATAGGTTGTGAAGATCACAGGACTAAAGGAGCATGCACCTGGAACCTTCTCTGATTTCTAGACCATAACTGGGTTCCTAGGATCTTAGAGTTCCTTGCCCAGGTGGTCCTGAGCTCACTTCTGGAACCTACCCCAGTCTCTCCCTAGGTTCTGTCTTCCTGGCAGGAAGTATGTGTGCACTCTAGGCCTGAAGGGTGGCCAGAGGACAGGATTAGTCTGGAGAATCAAGCTCAAAAGTGTGAGCTTAGATATCCACAAGAGTGGATAGAGCTAGAGGTGGTAAGAGAAGGAGGCAGGCCAGGCTGGGAGCCTCCACCTGTACTCTTGGCCTAAGGTGGGCCAATGTTGGGATGGACTTGGAAGTGAGACACCCTTAAGGTGGAGAGTAGGTCTAGCAGTCAGGAGGTGTGTTTGACTTCAGCAAGATAGAAGCTTATTTCTATAACAATAAAAAGAATTCTGGAGGGGAGCGCTACCAGGTCAGTAGAGAGCTGAGTTCTTTTATCTTTTTGAACATCTTTAGCATGTGGCATTCATCTCAGTGCCA